TGTTAATTTGTCGGCACAAGTGAAACGATCCCTATGGTAGTCGAACATGGAAAATAATCCACCTTTGCCCGCCCCATCGAAACTACAGTTCACGAAAGTTTCCTCTAGCACGTACGTATCGACCGTGAGGGCAAAACCGTAACTGAAACTCGATTGAAGTGTCTGCACACCAAAGGTCATGTTTCTTGATCGGCATGTCACGTTTATGGGGTCCGGCATTTCATTAGAAATTTCTATATTGTAGGTTAAATTTTCTGCTGAATATTGTGATGGGAGATTGATGAATAACAAGGTGAGTAATAAGGGAAATTGAATTTTGAAAAATACCATTTTTAAAGCTTTTTTTTTTTTTTCTTTATTATTGGTATATAAGTATAGGTGAAGAATTGTAAAAATTTAATCAAGCTAGATTTTCATATATCGGAAAATGTCTAGGGAATTTATTATTATGATATTAAATTAATAACCTTAGCATATATATTATCAAGATTTTATTTCATATAATCATGATTTTTAATGATTAGGGTCCAATTATACATAAAATCAATAAATGTACATAATCAATAAATGTACATATGTTATAGCAAAGAAAAAAAAAAATAGGAAATCACTAAATTAAATATCGTTATGGTTAATTGTTTTTTAGTTAATTAATTAAGAGCGATAGGGTAAAATTGAAAATGATGCAATCAATGTTTCATTGAAATTGTAAAGTGAATAACAAATTAGTGAAAACATTTCATCAAGATATAAAAACATCACTCATTATAAAGATACAATTTTTTCGTATTTTAGCATAACTGAGACTTGTGTTCACTACATATATCATTTTTCTAGATTTGTGAAGTATTCCCAGGACGGTTTTTTCCACCAATTTTTGTGTATTGATTCTTAACAAACCCACCAAAAAACTCTTCAAAAATATAATTCAAAGCACGTATTTATTTTCAATTTCAAGATAAATTTATGGACATATTTTGAATTCCTAATTTAATTCTTAAAGTTGAAAGATCTAATTTATATCTTTTGTGAAATTTCGAAATTGCAACAACGCGTTGAATGTATTTTCTTTTTAAATAAGAGTGAAATTATTGATTGGTTTATTTATAATAATTGATTTAAAGAGATGATAAACCGGTGTAATGAAATTATAAACTAAAATTACGAAATATCCTTCATTTACTAAAAGATGATATTCATTTATCATTTCAGATTTTCAAAATATGAATCAACGTATATAATTACAAAATATTTAATATTTTAATAATAGTGTTATTATGAAGATGTATTTAATTTTTTTAAAGATGTATTCAGAAGCTAGCTATCAGACTCACCGCAATTCAAGACAAAGACCAAAGAACCACATTCAATATGGTCGTCCGTTTGCACATTATATTTTCAACAAGTGTTAGCAAACCAGCCTGCATGCATTGCATGCCAATTTAATTTTGTGTCATCCCACCATTTAATTTATGATAACTATCAACATATACATTAATTTCGTTTTTAAATAATGTAATCAGCAACCAATCGTATAGATGTATTCGGTAAACTTACAATCTTGTATAATACTTCCTCCGTTCCGAAATAAGTGACTATGTTTTACTTTTCACATAAAGATTAAGAAATTCAATAAATATAGCTTAATTTTAGGAAAATCACATAAAAATGACTAAAATAACCTTTATCATTTAATAATTTATAAGAGAGAATTAATATTTGAGATTAAATTTTGAGCGGATCAGCCGATGTTTAATATAAATTGGATTCCACTAATTTTTTGACATGTGGTACTCTTACGCGGATTATAATTAGGGTTAGTGGGGTTATGGGTTCTGCTGGGTTTTTTTTTTTCCTTTTTTTTTTCAATTATTAGAATCCTTATTATATTTTTATTTAAACTATCCACGTGTCAATCATCCTATGACATCCGATTTTCCTATTCAAACAGACCATCCGGTCTAAATTTGCACCCTTAATATTTAGATCAGCTGCATTAATAAGATTAAAACAGGAAAAATGCATTTAATGCATAATTGGAAATCTAAAGTGACAGTTAATATGGGATAAAAATATTTTTAAAAAGAGACGGTTATTGTGGAACAGATGGAGTAATTTGCAAACCATACGAGAGAACTAAACAACACTACGTTAACCATATGTGACAAGCTCGACCAAGCGACCGCTGATTGGAAAATTCAAATCTAGATTAATTGACATATATTCATTTGTTCCAACCGCTATGTCATCTCTTGCGAGACGACAGTAAATTCGTTTTTGTTTTCTTATGGGGTTGACAATTTTTCCCATTAAACCATCTTTAATTTATCTCTTCTTTTCATCCCACCTAACTCTGTCAGAAAAAAAAATGCAATTCTCGAGATTATTGTGCCTGCATTTTAATGCCAATATTTATAACTCTACTATATTCACAACTGTCCTCCACCGTTTTGAAGAAACCCTAATTAAAATTTGCCTTAATAAATAGACCTCTTTCTCTACCCTAATTCCCTCACCTCAAACATTCTATCTTCACTGCGTGTCTGTGTGTGTGAGAGAGAGAGAGAGAGAGAGAGAGAGAGAGAGAGATGGGAAAATTGTACGTAATTTTCTTGATTGTACTTGCAGTAGGGCATGGGTCAGCAAGAAACATTCCAGATGACCAAACAAACCCTAATACTAAAGTTGACAATATTACCCCTGTTGATAAAACGGAGAATATGGTCACATCTGCAGACGGGCCGGCGGCTAGCGGCGTGGACGATCAGAAAAACTTCATCACCTACGGTGGAGTTGGTGGCTTTGCTGGCATTGGGGGCTACGCCGGAGTGATTCCGGTGCTTGGCGGCATTGGCGGTGCAAGTGGGCTTGGAGGGCTAGGAGGCCTCGGCGGACTTGGCGGTTTAGGTGGTGGTGCCGGTGGACTTGGTGGCGGTGCCGGTGGTTTAGGTGGTGGGGCTGGTGGACTTGGTGGTTTGGGTGGTGGTGCTGGCGGACTTGGTGGCTTAGGTGGCGGTGCCGGTGGTGTTGGTGGTGTAGGTGGGGTCGGTGGTGTAGGTGGAGTTGGTGGTGGTGGTGGTGTTGGTGGCGGAGCCGGCGGAGCATCGGGCGGTATAATACCCTAAATTCGTGGAGTATAATTTCTTGGTGAGATGCATGGTGATGTATTAGGGTTTGAGTTTGTTTAATTTTCTAGTGTTGGTAATTAGGGTTTGTTTGATTATGCTTATTGTAATCTTGATTTCGGTTTTTCGAAATTCGGAATTAATATTGTAGTATGTGATAAAACTAATTTTATGGTAATGCGTTATGCATGCATGCATGTTGTTTAGTTCCAGTTTCTTCTATTAATAAATCGTTACTAATTAGTACATGAACCATGAAATAATATTCATTTAGCTTGTTTGATTCTTAGTTCACAATTTTTTTTCTTTATTTTGTTTGATACACTTTTAGCCCATAAAAAAAAAATAAAAAAATAAGAGAGAGTTAGGCTTGGGCTAGAGTATTAGTTAGTCACTATTTGGGCTAAGGCTATTTAGATGTCCTCAAAATAAATAAAATTCCTATTTGATAGTTTGGCCCAAAATATTTTAAATATTTTGTACAAATTTAATATATATATATATATATATATATATATATATATATATATATATATATATATATATATATATATAAATAATAATAATAATAATAATAATAATATCATAAATTAACGTATAGATTAATAATTATTAATTCAACGATAAGTTAAAATTTCACTGAATTAATAGAATTATGCAGATCCAACTGTATTTATTTACAAAGGGTTAACTGTATATTAAAATTTGGACCAACTATTTTCTTGATAATTCATCCGTTTAATATAGTCCAAAGACTTGGTCTAAATTAAAGTTTATGTGTTTGAATAAGAAATTTGAAGAATTTATAGTAAAAAATCACTTATTTTGTAGTTTTTGCTTTTTTTGGGCAAGAAAAAACTTTATTAATGGGACAACAAAAACTAATACCAATTTTTTCTCACTTATGACCAAAATAAAAATTAGATAATAAATAGGTAATGACATAAATACCCTTAATGAAAATCAATATTAGAAAAACATTAAAAATCTCATTTTTTTTCTTCAATACCTAGGGGTGGAAATCGGACAGAGTGGATCGGAAATGTATTTTTTGGAAAATATTTTTTTGGAAGTTAAAAATAGGTTCCAATTTCCGTTCCAAAAAAATCAGAATTTCAAAAATCCATTCCAATTTCGGAATACCTCGGAATCGGCGGAATTTCGGAATTTTCGGAAATTGCATCAATTCGTAATTTTTTGTTCCAAAATCGGAAATAATGGTAATTTTTAGCATTTTTTTCTTCTAATATTTACGTAATTTTCCGGCAAAAGGCAAGAAGCCAAAACAAAGGTCGATAAGAAGTAAAAACAACATAATCAGTTTATCAAAGCAAACATAGTTCTTACAAATTTTCAAAATAAGAAAAACTAAATACAGTTCTTGCAAAACATGAAGAGAAAAACAAATATATAAATCGAATCGAAAATCGGAATTTTCAATAATTTTATATGTAATTCTAATTCCGTTCCAAAAATAATCGGAAAAATCAGAAATCGGAATATCGAAATTCAGAATATCGAAAATCGGAATGAAAAAAAGTGTTCCAAATTCGGATATTTTCGGATCGGAATTGTCGGAATTCGGAAATTTCGGTTCAATTTCCACCCCTATCGATACCAAACACACATAATCTTCGCAACTTCCTCCTTCTTCTTCTACCTCACAACAAACCCTCCTAAAAAATCTCAAAACTAAAGAAATCAAAACGTCACACAACTTGCAAAATGGAGTCAAATGAAAACAAAATGGTAGTTTATGATCAAGGAGAATCGATTACGGTATGTATACATGTCTTTTTTGAGCTTCTAAGTCGATTTTGAAGTTTTTTTTTTTAACCTGCAGACAGTTTTGGACATATAAGGTCGATTTTTTTGTCAATTTTCGACACCAACTAGTCGAAACATATATTAAAAAAAAAAAAAAACAAATTTGACATATACGTGTATGTGTCGAAAAACCACTGTTGCTTACAAAATATTAAAAAAAAAAATTTTTGTAGTAGTGATTTTTCGACACTTACATGTCGAAATTTGAAAAATTTGACATCCATGTGTCGAAATTCACTTTTTATTTTTATAAATATTTTCGACAAGTTGATGTCGAAAATTGACTAAAAATCGACATGTATGTGTCAAACTATCGACTGGGTTCAAAAAATAAACTTCAAAATCGATTTCTAAGGTTAAAAGGACGCGAATACATACTTTAATGGCTTCTACTTCCATGTAAACTATCTTTTTGTTGTCTTGTGACTCCAATTTATAAGTTTTGTGAGGTTATGATTTTTTTGAATTTTGAGATTTTTTGGAGGGTTTGTAAGAAGAGAGGGTTTAACGGGTTAGGGTTTTGTGGAAGAAGTAGAGAGTTTTTTTTTTTCGTCTTTGGTATTGACCTGAGGAAAACACACATCGTCCGTATACATTCGTATTTTGTTTGATGAGAGGTATTTTATGTTGATATATATATTTTTCGAGATAGGAATTTTTGAAGAAAGAATTAATAAACAGGGAAAAGTCGAGGCAAGAACTTTGTTCTCTCTCCTTAAGACAAAATTGCCCCGCAACAGTGCTTCGGTTTCGGCAATTATCGCCCCAATTAAGCCCTCTCCCCAATTGCAGAGCAGCACAACAACTGCTGGAACACAACGAACGAAAAGACGTCTTTTACATTCCTAATTAAGGTACAAAATCTTTTGTTTGCTCAAATGTTGAGTTTGAATGAAATGTATGACTTAGAGTGAGATTGCTGGAAAACTAGGGCTGTATTTATAGACACAACTCTAGAAAATGAAAGGAGCTGAAAAAGCCACTACAAAAAAAACTGTTTTATGTGACGCAAAACTTCGTCGCAAAAACTCAATATTTCGTCGCAAAAGAATTTACGTGACAATATTTTTCGTCACAGGGGTCGTCGCGTAGGCCCCGTCGCGAAAGGTGATATGTGACAAACTGAAGTTTTCGTCACAAAATATTGTGACAAAGCAAAATTCGTCACATAAAGTTCTATTGTTGTGACGAAGTATTCGTCGCATAAACATAATATGTTCGTCACTAAAACCTTGGGTCGTCACAAGAAGTAGTCTTTTCACTTACTTCTTGTGACAAAGCATTTTGTCACATGAGAACCAATATCTATTGGGACAATTAGTTCGTCACAAAAACAAATTATAACAAATATATGATTTGTTATATAATATTTATATTATTCATATTTAAATTAAATAAACTAATAATCAATTCCGCAAAACTAAACAATAATTTTGAAAATAAAATTGTATTGGAATATATCGTACAATTACACATACAAAATACATGAGTCAATAAAATCAAATTGGAATTTACATTAAAAAATAAACTACATAATATATAGACACCCTCCTTCCTTCAGTGGAGCAATATACTTCCTCCTCACAACCGTCTTTGCACTTTCAAATCTGCAAATTGAAAATAAAAAGATAAGCAAATATAATAATTGCTATTTAGCTGAAATTCAAAAATATTATTTCTCATCATTTATCGTAAATATACTCGTGTGTATATATAGGGTGTAGAACATATCATTTGACCTTATATTAGTTGGTCACAATGCATATACAGTTTCTCTACAGAAAATATATTAGAAATTTAGAAAATCTTTCAAACACAAAAATCAAGATTAATGAAACAACGTAATACCTTGTCGACCCAAGCATCTTTATATTCAACTATATACGGATGGCGTAGCTTTGGAATTAAACTCATCTGCAAACATAGACAGGCATGCATTAGAACTAACACTCGGACAATCATTATTCATTGAACAATATGTTTGTGCAGTAGCAAAATAGTTCAAACTCGAAAAAAAAAATTACTTACCTATTCAAAAGGTAAATAAAAACACTGATCATTAACATTCATAAAAACACGATACCAGCCAACTTCAGTCTTCAAAGGCATGTAACATGGTGCCATCAGCATTATTCTGCATGAATAACAAAAACAAATGATTAACACACTATAAAGCTTACTAAACAGAATAAAAGAACATCTGATCAACAAGTGCAGATACCAAAAATTCTCTATAAGAACCTGTAAATGACAGTTAATTACAAATGGAGAATTTGAAGCAACTTGGTTTTTCAGAAGATCAAGAGATTAAGAGCTTTGGGGTTTTATCAGTTTGCTTTATTCAAAATCTCATTCATTTTGATAGAAGGCTATGAACAATCGTAATAGATACATAAATCCTTATAGACTGCAAATGTATCAAATTAGCATACGATAGAAAATGTTTCAAGAGGAAACAAACCATGAATCTTTCACTGAAATAGTAATCCATTATGTCCAAGATCTTGGTCCATGTAGAAAAAATCAAAATCTGTTATCACAGAGAACAAACAATGCAAAACAGATGAACAATAGATGCCAATTCACATCTTGAAGAACATCTTCATATTTACAAATGTATTAATCAGACCACATGGCTTACAATATAATTCATTTATATTTGTTGAACATACTCAAGCACTCGTTGATCCCATTTTCTAGCAGAATATTCCATTAAAGATGCTAACATGTATTGATAAAGTATATATATCCATGTATTATATAAAATATATATGTGAAATCAACAAATCAAGCAACAATATCATAACATATCCGCTTCAATTTTTGTTTTTAACAACAAGTTCTACTGTTCATTGTATAATTTTGAAGTACTTACATATCTGCATCTAACAATTCAAGGTTTGAAGGAGAGAGAGAGAGAGAGAGAAACTCACATTTGAGTTCATCAGCGAAGGCAGAGATGTAATTTAGAAAAGTCGACGGGGCATCAGCACAATCAAGATCCTTAGCACGCAATGCGGCGGCATCGGGAAATCCGAGACGCCGGAGAGTAGAGGACTTGAGAGTTTCCGGCAGTATGACGCCATACAGGGAGAGCGATGCTCTGGTTTCAGCACTTCGGATGCGGTGATCACAGTAGCCGGTGGCCGAGAAGAAATACGCAATACATGTTACCTAAATTAAGTGAAAGAAACATACAAATATAGATGCAATAAAATATAAAGCTTGACCACAGATTGATTAAATGGCAATTATGATAAATACTCAGCTGGGAAAGCACAATGGATCATTTGTCCCGTCTTTCTCTCTTCTGTTACTTTTTCGAGGGGCTTCGTTAGTGCATTTCTCTGAAAACAAATCTGAAACCTCCATATTTCGACTTAAATTATGATTAGTTCATGCAAACACACGATTATGTGCCAAAACAAATAACAGAAGTAAGATCAGATAAAATTGTTAACCAACTGTTTTCAAGTTGTTTAGAAGAAGGTGGCTCTGCAGACAGACGTAAAACTAAATTCTAAAAATATGAAACACACAATTTTAGATTTCAAATATGGTTGAAATTGCTGAAATTTCATGTACTATCTACGAAGATTGTATAAGAATGGTTGAAATTGTATTACCTTGAGTGAGGCCTCTACGGCAAAATTAAGTCGGATATCAAGTTGGCATTGTATCTCCCTCAACCTTTTAATCTGCAAACGAAAGTTGTCATTAGTAAAAAATACAATTTGGAAGCGGTGAGTAATCTGCCCTAAGAGTACCTAGGTTTGTTTACTGCCCTAGACCCAGTACTCTGCATTACAAGAAAAAAATATGCCAAATACATTTACTCAGCTCCACCACACACACACATCCACACACACACACAATCCCAGTGTATGTGTGTCTGTGTGCGCGTGTTTCTTGGAGAGATAGTAGTTTGAGGGGCTGGTCAGCATATATATATATATGCTCACCAAAATACTGTCAATAATTTTAGATTTGAAATTGACAATTAATCTACTACATGAAGTGCAAAGTCAACCAAAATATACACAACAAACGATTCTTTCTTACTGAATTACGGCAACTGAAGATGCTTATACACAAAATTTACCTAATAATCATGGTTTATATCAAACAAAAATCACTAAATTCAAGTCACCAATACCAGATAGAAGCATAATATTTTTTTCCTATCACGAGACAAATATCAGAGTAATTCCCGAGAGTCGATTCTCCCATTTATACGAACATTAAACAATAAATAGGCAAAATAATTCCTTTTGTATCTGAAATATATCACAAAAACCCTAGATTTTTTCGAATTTTTTTAGCAAACAAATAATAACTAGGTCGATAAAATACTCCACATATTCCAGAAAATCCAACCATTAGAACCGCAATTCGTAGAAAAAGGAGGCACTCATACCTAAAAAGCCAAAAGTTCTTCACGAACGAGAAAATGAAAAATCCGAACTCGAAGCCGAACAGCTGCAATTGAAACGAGAAATCCAGTCCGAATTCCGCAAAATTATCCAGTCGCGTACCTAAATCGCCTGGGAGGTCGGAAATTTGATTAATCGTGGATCTGAGACACTGAAGACCACGGCGATTGAAAAAAGTGAAATCTAGAAGGGAAATCTACGGTGGTGGTGGTGGTGGTGGTGGTGGTGGTGGACGCAAAACCTAGAAGGAAAGGGGAAGAAAATCGAGAGAAATAATCTAATAAAAGGAAAGGGGAAAAGTGAGAGAATGAAAAAAGGGGGATTATTGTGAAGTACATTTTGTAACAACGTAAAAAGTCTGGGAATTAATTTTAATTTTTATAAATAAATAATTAGATTAATTTATGTATGACAAAGTACATTTTGTCACAACAAATAAATAATGTGACTAAATTGCTTTTGTCATAAGAAAATGTTTGTTGTCACATAATTGAGACCGCCAGTTAAGAAAAAAATATCTCCTGCATTCTATTGTGACGATTTTTCCTGTTGTCACATAAAATGGGTTTATGTGATGATTTTCATTTTTGTCTCATAAATTATTTATTTATGAGACGAATTTATATTTCGTCATAAGATCTCTACTCTATTGTGACGAATTTGAGTTTCGTCACAATAAATCGTCACATAAAACATTTTTTTTTGTAGTGTCTGCTGCCACGTGTCATTTTTTTGTATTTTTCTAAAACCCCTACAGGTTAACTCTAGTGAAGAAATATATTATAAAATACAAAAAAAGACACGTGCCAGCAAAAGACCTACCCAGTGTTTATCACCGGGTATAAGGTCAAAGAAGTCCATAAATTCCATGCCCGGTCAACGTAAGACTTGTGTGCAGTGGCCCCCTCATACTCGGCCACTCTCAAGCTCGGATCCGAGCAACACCTTGTTATTTATATTATACATATATCTATTTGTTTTTTAATTTATTTTTTATAATTGAATAAATTTTGGAACTTACGTTTAATATGTTGGCGGGATAAAATTATCTTTTTTTTCTTTTTTTTTTTACTATTAATGTTCTTTTTTTGGAATTTCTCCTTTTATAACTTTTTATATAACAAAAGGACACAATTATTTAATTCTCATTTTTGCACAGGGCACAAAAATGTCGAAACCGAAACCGAAACCGAAACCGAAATCGGCAGCCTTGAAGGAAGGAACGTATAAAGCTAAATGATATTATTACGCGCTAAGATGTTTGAGCTAAAGAAACATTAGGAGTTATTTCGTAAACTATTTTTTCTGCTCGAATGTACTATTAATATAAATAAATAAATAAAATCTTACACCACCGATAGGCAATAACTCAATACGGTTTGCCTTTCCCTTGGAACTGCAACTCATCTTGGAGATAAGAAGTTACATTCAAGAATGCATTTTCACTGCATGGGATTGTTAGCCCTCCCATCGGATAATCGAATCCATATTCTTCCTCCGAAAATCTCAACAAATCTTGAAACTTCGGATGCTTTAGATACAAAATCGGGACGAGAAAACGGGTTTTAGTCTCATTAGTCTCGCCTACATAAACCGCTAAATAACCCTTCGGCACATCTACTTTTCCTTCCGACTTTGTGAAAACGCATTGTCGTCTATTAGAATGGCGAATAATTGTCGGAAAACAGCTTCCCATTGAGACAATTGTAGGATGAAAAAAAAATTGTGGAATGTTTTTTTTATTTTATTATTTTTTGTTTATGTTGTGATGAAAATTCTGGTCTTTTTCAATGCTTATTTATATAGTAGAGTGGAGATTGCTCAGTCAGACAATTTCACAAACAGCTTAGGGTCAATGCAAAATGCTGTAGGGCCAAAATTGTACAGGCATTATTTAGGTTGGAGTTTATTAATTACAGTCAGTCCCCAAGTTGTGAGGACACTAGGGCCAATGCCCATGGTTTTGTACAGACGAATAAGTTCCATTACAATGAATTTTGCTAATATTAGTAATAAGAGGACTTTTTAAGCAATTAAATTAAATGTATGGGTGCTTAATGCAATAAACTTAAGATATGGACTTTAATTTGCTCAACACCGTAATTTCTAAAAAATAACATAATCTCAATCTATATTTGTACTAAATGAAAAAAAAATGTAATGCCAAAAGATTTAGGCCCCGTTTGGTTGTCAAGATAAGGCATAATGAACTAAATAGTTGGACTTAATTTGATGTTTGGTATCCCCATAAATTGCCGGGTCGACAGCCAAAATTATGTAATCATGGCTTATCTTTCCTTCTAGTGAGTTTCTTTGTTAGACGGCGTGAGGTTCAATTAGATAATTGAGTTTCATTAGATTATTTAATCTTATCTCGACCAGTCTTATCTTATCAACCAAACGGAGCCTTATTGTCTAGCGGAAATCCCACGTACGGAAGAGTGATAGTTCAACTGATTCCGAGAATGCTAAATTGGTAGAATTTCTAGAATCGAATACTGGCATCGTGTAAATTTCAATTCCAATCATGGTTGGTTCTTTGTGGGCGCCAAGCCCTTATCCGCTATCTTAACATGTCGCTGAGTTATCATAATTTATGTTATTCTATCAAAATTTGTTGGGCTAGGGGATGGGAATCGTACTGATGAGAAATTTCGACTTTTAATGCAAGTGATATAAAATTTCAGTCGCCCACTGTTGTATTCAATTATTTTTAAAGTAATAATTTCACACCTTTTGCAATGAAGTATATATAATAATGAACCATATTCTATTAATTTTGTTATTATTTCGAAGACTAGAACATATCACCAAAACACAATTATATATATATATATATATATATATATATATATATATATATATATATGGGATTATTTTGTAGACCCCTTCATTTCCAAATTATATATAACTAACTACCAAGTGGATTACACTCTAGGGGACACCCCCCTCATTTCGAAAATATATTGACATACCCTCCTGGGCTACCCTGAAGTTCCTATAATACCCTTCTAAAATCAGTTTTAAACCCTAGCCACACTCACGGTCTCTCTCTTCTTCTCTCCCAAATTCAAAATCCCGCATCCACAAACCTCCCACCGGCGAAATTGCTTCCCGGAGCCATAACTCTATCTCCGGTGGTCGGAATTCGATGGTTTAACTACAGTTGGATTCCTCTCGTCGAGCTCTTTCTTTTGGTGGGGATTTCATTCAGTTTCGAACGCTGATCTGTTTCTGCATTTCTTTTTTCATTCGAGAACGGTGGTCTTGCCGGAGTTTTATTTTGTGTTCCACCCGTCGAAATTTGACGGGTCACCTACCGTTGGATTACTTTCGTCGGGATCTATATTTTGATGGTAATTTCGTTTATTTTTATGTTTTCAGATTTATTTCTATATTTTTTGCATTTGTGGTCGGGTGGAACCATTGGTGGTTATTAGCGGCGTCTAGGGTTTTGGTAGGAGGCGAGGGGGGTGAGGAGTCACTGTCTGTTTTGATTTAAAATTTGTTGCATTTCCCAGCAATAATCTCTCTCTCTATCTCTCGATCTCTTAATGTTTGGTGATTTTTGAGTGTTTTGATGTTTTTCTTCAAATTTGTTGATTTGCACTAAAGTAATTTCTTTTTGTTTTGATTTTGCAATTGCAGCTTAATGAAGGCCATTAATCATTTCCTTGAAGGTGTCAAATTTTTGTTTTTTTAAGTTACATCAGATCTGTTCAACAGACTGTATACATTACTATATGGTTGGCTGCGGGTTCCTGCATTACAAAAAAAAAAAAAAAAAAAAAAAAATATACATTACTATACATTACTATAGTAACATGTAGTTACATATGCGTATATTTATGTATTTTCGATTTGTATTTTATTGGTTCTGATGTGATTTATAATAAAAATATTTAAATTTGTAAATTTGTGTTGGGGTTTTATGAATTTATTTTGTATAAGTCAGTATTCGTGTGTGTATACAATTGATCGACTAAAAATATGGGGAAAAAACGAACATAACTATGAATTACTATAGGTACTATAGTTACATGTAGTTATTTCCAGTACTGTAAACATATTGTTGTGAAAATTAAAAAAAAAATTAAAAAAAAATTAATTTTTTTTTAATTTAAAAAAAAACGTTAAAATATTAAAAAAAATAAATATATATATATATTTAACAAACAGATTTATAAAAAAAAAAAAGGAAAATAATAATAAATAAATCAGCGAAAATGATAAATGCAGGACCATAAATGCTGAATGCAGTTTGGCCGAAAATTGCACATAGGGGTAGTATAGTACTTTCGCTTCCCCATGGGTATGTCAAAGGATGATTTGGGCTTGGGTTTATCCCTAGTTTATTTGATGGCTAGGGGTATGTAAAATAACCTCTCTATCTATATATATATATATATATATATATATATATATATATATATATATATATATATGACAAGTCATTATCCAGATACTATTTGGTTCCAAATTGTTGTCTCCTACAATAAATTGTTTTTCGAGGCTCGAAATATTTGCTTTGTATTGATTTGTGGTAGTGATTACGCCACGTGGGCCTGGATCTCTTTCTTTCTAGCCTTGTGATTGGATCTTGGTTTTGAATGTCACATGCCCCTTTAAAGCTTTGATTGTCAAATGATTGGAGTAGTTTGTTAGATAAATTTGAAATGATCACTAATAAATTACATGTGACGATTGTTAAATTCAATTGATATTATATAACTATCCCAATTACAATGTGATATAAATTAATTTTGCAAAATCACATGTATTTTTTAATCTTAAATAATAATATTGTTAGTATAGGGACTAACATTTTCTTTTTAGAATTTGGTGTTGCTTAATCATTTTATATATTTTATTTTTTGTGAGTGACATGTAACCTTTTTTAATTAGAAAGAGCAGATTTTATTAGGCCAAATGAGCCACGTTCAAGGGCGAAAACAGCCTATCGATACAATCGTAATTAGATGTCGTAATGAGAGCATGAGCAAGAAGGCTTGATAAAATGAAAGGTGCAAGAACGAAATAACTAAATATTCTTAAACATTCATCAATAAAAGCTACAAACGAAGCTTCGGCAGAACTTCGTTCGTGGAGAGCTGTAATCACCTGTAAATTGTGTACTTCGATGAGTATATTTGAACACCCATGCTCCCTTAGTTTAGAGATCACATACAAGGCCGTATGAGCCTCTCCTTCAACCAGCGCCCGTGTGTATTTTGAAAGCTCCAACAAATACACTTTCGTTTCGAGTCGCGAGTTACATTGGCCAGCACATCAAAATTTTCGTCTGACGGGAACACGACGTCAAAGTTTATTTTGATCGTCCTTTGTCACTTAGCCCCAATTTAAGAAGTATTGAGCATTTGTTTTAGTTGAATTTTCAATTTGGCGTAATAAGAGCAATGTTTAAAAAATTAGAGCGGATATTAACTTGGACAAGTTATTGGGTCACGGTTGGATTAATTCAACCGAGGTTCAGCTGGTTTTTTTTATTTTGTTATTTTATAATCATTTATGTTTAGTTTTTACAATAAATAAACATATTTTCTTTTACACACATTAAAGCATTATTCATTTCCAATTGAAACGTAATTCAAACCTACTTTTCTTTTACACACACAATATATAGACACACATATATCACAACTCAATCACTACAAATATTATACAAAATTATAATCCAAAATAATATGCTTCTCAATTCAAAGTTTTTTATTTTGATTGAATTTTTTCAACTGAATAGTAAAAAGACGTCGTTTTAGCCCTTTTGATTGTTGTTTTCTTTTTAAATAATAAAATACTCCATTTTGGGCACAAAAAAAAACCTGATTTTCAGTCGGGTTCCAATTTCACATTTCAACCGGCCAAACTGACCAGTCGACAAGACAATACGGTTCGCAGTTTTAGCGGTTTGGTCCGAGTTCCTAAACACTGAACAAGAGTATCAATTGGCACACAATAATAAAATCAAAAATAATTTCGAAACCTTAAATAAAATTAGGATTAAAAAAAAAATGCCACCCACAATTCGATTTTATCCATATTGTTATAATTATATAATTGAAATATTATAGGGGTCCCCTTCTTTACAACTCAATTGATGAGAGGTCCTTTTATCATTCTTTTTTCTAGCACTATTCTATAGTTAATCCGATATATTCATGATAGAGACTTTCTGTCATATGCATATCTCTAAAACATCCCTTCTTCATTCATTTTTCAATATTTTCAAATGCATAACTTTTCTATATATATATATATATATATATATATATATATATATATATATATATATATATATATATATATATATATATATATGTAAGTGGGACTTCAGGGTATTGTTGATCTGCCTATTCTCTAGTCTTTGATTGTATTTAATGTGATCACAAGCCCTACATTCTCTTGCAGAGTTGACTGCTTTTCTATTCATGGATATTCGTATGAGGAAGTTGCGGTAGAGTCGGCATTCGTTAAGAGGGTGCGTTACGGGGTTATCGGGGTTTCGGGGATAGCGTTTCCGAAATACTTTTTTAAGGATATTCAGAAATAGGGTCGTTTAAATACGTATTTTTCTATGTATATGGATATTAATTAAGCAAAGATGTGACAAGCTCGACCTATAGAGGTCTGGTAAGGAGATTCGAACTCGAGTCATTTAATTTGACTTCACGTTCTTTT